CATATTCAAAATGAATATCTAAAGAACACGAGTAAGAATTGGTTTCATTAATAACAGCTTAATAATAACTGTTATTAATAAATAAATAATTAATAATTTATTTAAACAATAAGTTGTATATAGAACGAAAGCGCTAATTTTATACGTAATAATGATAGCTTTGTAATTTATAAATCTTAGATAATTAATCTAGTAATTACGTTTTAAGATTATAGAAAAAACCGTTACAAATATGAAAATTTGTTATAATTTACATGTTATTAACTAATTTGAATATTTCTTTTTAGAAATTACTTCTAAAATTAATAAACGATAAAGTTATGTAAAAATTTAATATTGTTCTATTGTAAATATTGTAATATTGCATTAATTAACTTTATTAGTTAATAACATTTGACGATATTATTTGTGATGATTGTAAATTGCACTAAATCAACCAATAACTAATCCTGTAAAGTTTATATGTGTTGAAAGTTTAGTATTGATGTTTATTTACTTGTAAATTAAGAAAATTCATTTCTCAAAATTCGCGAATGTTTCTCGAAGATTCGAAAACTTCTGGAAGAGAACTCTCCTGCGAAAATAGGCGGGAAAATCTGTGTATAAATACGACCATTATTGCACAGGCTGGTATTCACTTCTAGCCTTGCAAAGTGAGCGCATGAGATTGAATAAACTTGGCTAATACCTAAGTTCTTTCTCTCATCGTGATTAACTGAGCAAGACCTTTGCTTTCCTATAATTCGTGCTTATAGAACATTATAGAACATTATAGAACATCTCGCGCTATAAGAAACTTAGGCTGAATTATATCCTCTAGAAGACTTTAGCTTTGCTTATCTGACAATTCGCACCATAAGAAACTAGAGCATAGTCTGAGTTTCCTTGGATCTTTACTCATATTTACATATACTTGATTTATCGATTTATTTCATATTGACAATTAGAGTAAATTTGAAAAGAAACGAATTCTTACTCATTAACGCGACTAGACCACGAGAGTACGAATTATTAATTATACTATAAGTGATACGAACATTACATTAGCTTCGTTTCGTATTCCGGTCTCGCTGGGGAAGTTGCCGATGTCGATTCGGACGTTCGACTTATCCTTTGCGAGGGTTCTCTCAGTATGCCCTTTTCTTCTCTCAGCTATAGTCCCTCACAAAATAGTTGCGCACTTTTAAAACGGCACGAAACGTTTGCACTCCGCAAAGGCCACAACCGTCCGCCCCGAGTAGCTATCCTAGATTCTGCTCTTTTCTCTATCTCTATCTCACTCTTCCCGCGCAGAGCACTCATGTCCGGCAGGTGTTGCCCCTCACGGGCAGTCGTCCTGACGAGGTGAGAGGAAAACCACTTAGTAGTGATTTCCCTGCCGTACCTGGTCTCTCGCTATTACTAATGCCCGGGTTATATGATTTGAGGTACGGATTAACGCCTTAGGGAGCTGAAATTGGATGAGCTACATAACTAAGGGCGAGGAGGTGCGCAGATAGGGGAGATGGAAAAGAGAATAAAAGGAAGCGAAAAAAGGAGAGTTTTGGTGCAAAGATTTGGCTCGGTGGGTCACCGGTTATATTAGCAGGAGAGACGTCGGTGATACGAAGAGGACGATGATTATTTAGCTCAGCGAAATGCTGTAGAACATCTTGATTGATCTGGAAAGCCGGATCGTCCCCGGCTACTGCAGAAGATTCGTCGAAGCTTGTATCATCGGCACCGACGTCCGAGTTCACAAGAGGAAATGATGCGGCAACTAGGGCGAATAGCGACAGCGTGAGCTCTTTTCTCTCTTTTCGCTTCCTCCATCTTAATACTGGTACGCATATGACAATCGCGGTGTCGTGGGCTCCGCTCTGTCGTACTCCGCGGTGAGCAGAAATGCAACGTCTGAGCGATCTTTAATTTTCCGGCTCCATCGGAGAGGCTCAGCGTTGCATGTTGAGCAAAAATGCCGATTTGCAATGATTGAACACCTCACCGTGAACACCGTTTCGCCCTGAGTGCTTGATCGAGCGGAACAAGCCTACGAAAGACTATTTTTTTTAGTGATTATTCTTTTTATGTTCTTTTTCTTCTTTATTTAAGGGAAGCCCTAAGTGAAATTCCAGCCTGGTAATAATTTATCGATACGAGACTGATTTAAATGGTTTTATATGTAAAATTTTATGAGGAATTCAATGATCCAGTTTAATAAAATCTAAAAATTATTTTTTCATATTTTTCAAAAAAAAATTTGGTTTTGAATTTTTAATTTTTGACCTATACCAGCTACGGCTTATTCCATGCGTAATGTTATTCAGAATATATATTTAAATATATTTGAAAGAAGAATTCAAATTTATTGGGAACACCTAACACATACATTCTTTGGCGCGCCGCACGATCATTCGCGGTGTCCGCATACGATAACGCAGTTGAGTAATAATTAAGGCAGCAGTAAAAATGAAACTAGTTCCGCAGTTTTCAATATTTCGGGCTGGAAATTGTTATACAAGTTCTTTGAATTACTCTGAACAACATTACGTATGGATTAAGCCATAGCTGGTAATAGTCAAAAATTAAAAATTCACAACCAAAATTTTTTTTGAAAAAAATGAAAAAAGAAATTTTAGATTTTTTAGACTGCACCATTGAATCTCGTGAAATTTTACATATAAAACCATCTCAATCAATAAATTATCACCAGGCTGAAATTTCACTTGGGGTTCTCCTTAAGTTTGTAATTTTCTCTTATATTTTCTTGATTAGTAATTTAATGAAGTATTGATATTAGGAGTTAAAATTGAATTTAATATATTTTTTCTTCCCGTTTCAGGTTCTGTCACGAGCAAAAGTCACAACGTGCATGTACGGCCGGTTGCTCAGTAGCCGAATAATTTAGGCTTCCGAATCCCCGCGTAAATTATTTAGTAAATAGAACCGCGGGCAAACATTTATTGTAAAATCCGACTCTTCCTTTACAAATACCGGACTTAAAAAACAAACTAATGAATAAATAAGTAAATCCTAATCTTTTTATTGCATTCTAAAACAAATACAAAATACTCACTAGAGTATTCTCTCGAATCTCATGTACATATTTCATATAGTAATAAAATTTACTTAATGTCTTAATATATTAAACAGATTACAAATAAACTTGGTGCAAATAAAACAACACAGGATTTCAGAATGTGTTAAAAAGTTAATGTTTCTGTTGATAAAATGTAATAGAAAATACACTCCGTATGTATATGTGTGATGATGGGACTAAGACCGCATACAAGTAGCGCCTCCCCCCCCCTAGTTTGGTCACCGAGCTGGCTAACCGCGCTCTCTTCGCTCGAGTGAGCTGTATGCTGCTAGACAGCCTTGCGATAGGTACTCTGTATCCTTTTCTCCTTATATCAATAAACTCTCTTTATATAAAATTCCTGTGTACTCTTATTAATAAACTAACAGTTTCTGTAACCAGGTTTTAGGAATGAATAATGTAGCTGTAGATACGAGGGTGGTCCGATAAGTACTTAGCCTCACCGCCCGATGGCGCCACTCTCGCAAAAGAAATATTCTATCACATAGTACAACCTTCTCGATGGTTACTGTCAAGATTTCAGCCGGATCGGAGTTGTATTTTATTTTTGAGAGCGTATGAAAACAAGTGTGTGCGTTGATTTTTGAAAAATGGAAAAAGAGCAGTATCGGTCGGTGATTCGATTCTTGTTTTTGGAAGAGAAATCGCGCAGCGACATCAAAAAGCGCTTGGATGCTGTGTACGGTGACTCTTCTCCTTCGATGGCGACCGTTAAAAAATGGTTTAACGAGTTTCAACGTGGTCGCACGTCGATTTTTGAAGAGCCACGTTCAGGTGCTCCGAAAACGGCTACCACGGAGGATAACGCGACAAAAATTCACGATCTCGTATTGGCAGATCAACGATTGAAGGTGCAAGAGATAGCTACAATCGTAGGCATCTCAAAAGACTGCGTGGGTCATGTCCTGCATGAAATTTTGGGCATGAGAAAGCTGTCGGCGCGATGGGTGCCGCGTTTGCTCACTCCGGACAACAAGCGCAACCGTGAGACAACTTCAGAGCAATGTCTGACGCTGTTTAAGCGCAATCCGAAGGAGTTTCTGCGTCACTTCGTGACAGTCGACGAAACATGGATCCACTGGTATACGCCAGAGACCAAGGAACAGTCGAAACAGTGGACTTTACCCGGCGAAAGTGCTCTGAAGAAGGCGAAGACTGCCCTATCGGCCGGAAAGGTGATGGCCACCGTTTTCTGGGATTCACAAGGTGTGATCTACATCGACTACCTGGAGAGGGGCAAAACGGTCACAGGGCTGTACTATGCCGAATTATTGGGCCGATTCGACGTCGAATTGCAGAAAAAACGGCCTCATTTGGCGAAGAAAAAAGTGCTCTTCCACCATGACAACGCACCGGCTCACACCTCCGCCGTCGCTATGGTCAAATTGGTCGAATTAGGCTACGAACTGCTGCCCCATCCACCGTATTTTCCAGATCTAGCCCCGTGCGACTACTTTCTGTTTCCAAACTTGAAAAAGTCACTCGCCGGGAAGAAATTTGAGTCGAATGAGGAGGAATTGAATCGCTCCCACGGAAGCCTACTTTTCAGACCTCGAGGAAACGTATTTTTCAGACGGGTTAAAGAAGTTGGAGCATCGCTGGGCCAAGTGTATCGAACTAAAAGGAGACTATGTTGAAAAATAAAAGGCCACTTTTCCAAAATTTTCGTTTTTCTTTTGTAGGCTAAGTACTTATCGAACCACCCTCGTAAGTACTAATTTGGACGAGTGAAGTGAATAAAATGTCGAATGAATATATCTTCTTACCTATGTGACTGTTATAAAATTTCGGAAACATTAGACAAATAAAATATAAACAAGCTCTATATGAAATACAAGCGCTAATTGTTAATCAGAATAACATTGAACTATTCAACGAAAATATAGCAATAATTCGGTTATTTACATGTTATAATACTCACTCTTTATTTTGGTGCATTTCAAGATTTTCGATTATTTGAAAATTCATAACTATTTTCTTATTGCGTATTTCATACAAGTGATTCATTACATGGTGCACTTCTCTGTTTAAACCTAATTTATCTTGAATCAATTTTTCTATTTTGTTCTTCAAAATAAATATTTGCTTCAACAAAGTCGTTATTGAGGTCTTATAATCCTAAATTAACAAACATATTTGTATAATTATATAATTTAATAAATCAAAGTGATTTTTAATAATTACCTCGAATTGTGAACACGAAGATGCAGATTTGTTGGTTACTTTATCAATCTCTCGAGCTTGAATGTCTACAAATTTCTCAACAAAATTCCAGCTTAAATGGTTCTACAATTATAAATATAAATAATTATTGACTTGATTTACTAATAAATTTTATTAATTTAGTCAATGAAATCAATTTTTTACCGATTCATCTTCGAATGTAGATAGGTTCCTCATTAACTCTTCCGATTTACTCTGAAAATTATAATATTTATTAATTATATTCGTTATATAATGTATAATAAATAATGTAGAATATAATAATCTCCTAGTTATTCTATAAATGAGCGTCTCTTTAATAGACAGCTATTTTGTTCTATTCACGTCTTATTGATTCATTGTAACTTTCGGTATAAAATATCCTTTCATAAAGTAATAATTTTTATTTTAATATGCATCACCGCGACTGCATTTTTACTTTTCACAAATAAACTCTGAGTTTTCCACTTTTAAATGTAGAATAAACAACGCTTGGCGACTCTGGATATTTTCTACATACAAGCCGCGCACTTCTTGAAAAAAGCAATAATCCAGTCTGATTGTTTTTATTGTATAATGGCAACCAGCCGTATACTCGAAAATAAGGAAAAATGCTATAAAAACTAAGGTGATACCTCACATTTACGCTTAGGTGTGTTAGGGCATTCGATAAAAATCTTTACCTTATAAAGAGCCCGATGTCACATCTATACGAAGTCTATCCTTTACTATGCAAAATTTGTAACTTTAACTTTTTTCAATGAATAAAAGCACTTTTCCAGTTAATTTTAATGCGCTTATACCAAATACAAACTTGATATACGTATTAATTAATTAATACTTAGCGAAATTTAATTTAAAATTATAAATCATGAATAATTTTACGATACACAAATATAACACGAGTTCAACCATTACTAAGCGCAGATAATATCTTAAGAAAAAAAAGCAGGAATTTGACACATTGATAACAGGTTTTTGAACTAAGTTATCAATAAATAAAAATTGATAATTTATTTAAACATTTAAACTTACGTTGTAAGATAACGATCTAACTGTATACAGGGTGTCCCAGACCACCCATCCACCCCTTCTAGTTTTCCAAAAACGCATTTTCAGAAAATATGAAACACATAAAATTTCAGTAAATTAGTCAAGGATTTCAGCGGTGACCTTTAATTTGACATTGGAAATGATTTTCAAAGACATCTCAAGGTCAACTTGATTTTTTTAAATAGGAACCCCCATTTTTGACTTTGAATTCTTAAAGAACACGAAATTTTGAGTCAAAAGGGATTTTCTAATTTTTGTTATTAGGAGCACAGTTTGCGAGAAAAAAATTCATTAACATTTGCAATTTAACTCGAGAAGCCGATGGATTGCAATCATCTGAAAGGCTTCACATGTTAAATAGCAAATAATTTGGTATTAAATTAATTAAATCTTACCTGCAGGTATAAAATCAAAATGGGTCAATGACGTTTCAGATACTACAAAATTGAAATTCACTCCGTTAATTTCACTCCGTCAATTCATTATTGACTACGTGACTAATAACCACTGAACCAAGCAATGAAAAGTAATGCAAACTCAAATTAATGGATATTTTTTTCTTAGGTAAGATATCGACTTCAAGCCACGTCATTCGAATGGATATTCAGATTTCATAGTTTCCGAAAAAAAAGTTCATTATCATTTGTAATTTAACTCGTGAACCCGATGGCTTGCAATTATCTGAAAGGCTTCACATGTTAAATTGCAAATGTTAATGAATTTTTTTCTCGGAAACTGTGCCCCTAATAAAAAAAATTATAAAAACACTTTTGACTCGAAATTTTGTGCTCTTTAAGAATTCAAAGTCAAAAGTAGGGGGTTTCTATTTAAAAAAACCAAGTTAACCTTGAGATGCATTTGAAAATCATTTCCACGGTCAAATTAAAGGTCACCGCTGAAATCCTTGACTGATTTACTGAAATTTTATATGTTTCATATTTTCTGAAAATGCGTTTTTGAAAAACTAGAAGGGGTGAGCGGGTGGTCTGGGACATCCTGTATACTGTCACAAGAATGTATAAAGCAATTTGTTTATTCATTCGTTGCTGTTAAAGGAACTTAATCTCGTCCCGCAGTGTACGTAAAGCTAACTGCTGCCTCGATCTGATCTTACAATACGATCAACTGATGCGTATGTGCTCCGCAAACTGAAAACGAGTACGCAAGTGCAAAGAAAAATTGGAAGTGAATGAAATCAAATATGAGGTATAATGCTGCGAGTGCGGAATGATAGTAAATTGTCTAGCTAACAGTAATAACGCGACACGATTTGAATCAAAAGTATCGGTTTATTTGGTTGATTAGTCAGCAAAAGAAAAACAAAATAATCGTATGTCTGAAAGATTCAGATGTATATAAGGATCAATAAGCACTGACGCTAGTTGATCGCGACGAATAACGAGAGAGAGAGAGAAAGAAAGAGAGAGAGAGACAGAGATAGAACAAAAGCGCGGAACTCATCGTGAACTAATAGCGGTTGCTCCGCTTGCACGATAAAACTTCGTTAAATTCCGAACCAATTAAGGTGCAGTAGAGAGCATGTTATAGAACGACGGCCCAGAAACTCCTTCCCTTCTTCTTCGTAGCCATGGGCGTCAAGCTCCCGACGGGCGCCTAGAAATACTTCATTGGCACCAGCATTTACAATGGAAAAAAAATGGTTGACTTGACACCGTTGTTACCCTTGATAATTTAAACAATACTGCTTCGTCTTCGAGTTGCATGTCGCTTCCTGCCCTTCATTTTGTTCACAAACTTCTGTTCATAGAATTTTTGAATTCTCGGCCGGTTTCTTTTCATTAGCGCTTACTGTTCTCCGTTGCGGTAGCTTCATATAGTAAATTACACGCGTGGCTTAACGAATATTCATTCGTTACAATACTTATAAAATTAATCAAAATGATTGTTATCCGATCATTTATTTTATATTTACAAAAAACATAATTTGCCAATTCATAACTTAATTATTGATTAATTCATTAATTTATTGATCCATATAATTTCATAAAAAAATACAAGAATTCCTCCTGTAACATTTGCAAGAGCCTTCAGAGACGAACAAGTTACTTATACATAAGCTTGACAAATTAAATAAACTTACATAACTAATAATAACTTAGAAAGCAATACAGAATTATTTTTTAATTTATTTATTTATATCTTATGTATGGTTAATGATTAGAATCTTACTAGTTTTTGCACAATTGGTAAATTCGCATTCTTGTGGAATTCTAATGTAGGAATTCAAAATTTCCTTGTACCATTTTTCTAGTGTTTATTTTATCAATCCAGATTACCTGCCATAGTTTACATATTATATTCATAATACAAATTTATTCAATATACATCTCTTAATTATATTACTAATTTCTAAATTCTTAAGTTCTATTGTCAATTTATTCAAAGTTTTTACTGCTTTTACATAACTAATTTTGTCACTTATTCTTCTGCTGTATTTTATAAATTGTACCGATTTATTCCTTGTTATACTTTTGCATGATAGGCATTTCTGTCTCATATTAATACAATGATATATTATTGCCTCTGATGAGAATAATCGCCTAATATGAGAGTTTTATCTGGTTCCAAAATAGAGATCTATATATAATTTTGATTATTTCGTATTCTATATACTTAAATTAAATTGTTATCATAGACTCCTTCTCAGGGTATTATTTCATACTTTATAACACAATGAAAAAATGCAAAATACTCTATCATTAACGATTGAGTGTCTATAATTTGTTTCAATTTAGCGAATATAATGTAACGGTCTAGTCTGATCTGTTCTTTTTTTTCACTTGTTACTGCGCGAGAAAGACAAGAGGAGAGAGGATGACCTGATGAATCGGCGAAATCCGCTGGCACGTAGATCTTTTTGCCGACTGGCGACTCCGTGGATTATGGCGCGGCCGGTGGACAAAGACTGGCTCAAAATACTGTCCCGCTGCGCTGGACTGATGCACTATATCGCTGGCGAGGTCTCTTTCCTAATACTAGCGAGAGACGACTAACTAGTGCATGAGAGACTGCTTCTCACGCCTTCCCCACCACTCACTTGCCTAATCGGCGGAACGCGGCAAAGCCAAGCGTGGCCAGTGCCGCGCGCCTAGCCGCACCATAATTGCATTCTTTCTCTCTCTCTCTCTCTCTCTCTCTCTCCATCCAATGGTGACTGACGGGAGTGCATGTTGTTGCGCGCTCCTGCTTACTGGTACTGCCGCTGCTCTCTCTTTCTTTCTTGCTTGTGGAAAAAAGACCGATGCTGAAAACAAAAGCTGGCATCAGACACGGAAATGCACGTGCGTCAGATACCTGCCATGAGCCTTTACCAAGGTCGGAGAGAGAGAAGGAACACACGGGGTAGGCCATGACCAGCCTACACAGTTACAGCCCCTCCGAAGGCCGAAGTTCTCCCCAGGACAACAAGGCCTTACTCCACCCCCAAGTCTCTCTCCCCCTTTCGGCAAAGACTCACGACTTGGCCTGAGGATATAATAAATAACTTATTCAACAATATAATAGACTTAGGATTAACTTAATTCTAAGTTAGTACAAAAACGAAACTAAAATTTTAGCTTAATGATGACGACTAAATTTTACAAGGGTTGATTACAAGGGCAAACGCGTGGTCTATGTACCGGCAAAGAAAATAAACTCAACCATCGGATCGATGACGCGTCAAGACGCCCTGCGCACATATTCACCTTTAAAGTCAGCTAGGTTACTAAAGAGAATACCATACCTTAAGGCTCGACGACTATCGGTTACCCTCCAGGTACTTGAGCCTAAGGACCCTAAGCTCCTAGGCTACCGGTGTAAGAGCGTCAGTACCATTGAACCGATGACCACCCGCGGCAGTCACTAACGGCGGGGGCGCCTCCAATGTATCCATCGGGGCGACCTCCGTCAAAAGCAAACTTGACCCGTCTCGCGATCGCGACTCCGCGCCGTTCGTCTGCTGACGAGTGCTTTTGCGTGCCAGCTTCTTTCGGTACGCCTTACCCGATCGATGGCGTGGTTTTCGAGTAACCTCCGGAGTGGTGGCCAGGGCAACGGTCTGCCCCGTTGTCACAGGTCCCAGACTTTGAAGAGCGTGCTGCGGCGCCGGTCTGTATTGTGGGACAGACGACACGCTGGGTAGCGGCTCACTTAAGACCGAA